GGACAAGTCTAGTAGTACATGGGCAAGAAAGTCGTCCTTTCAAGCAGTATGTTTTGGCGAGACGCCGAGACCACGTCGTGCAAGCAGGTCACGCACGTCGCCCAGGCCCTCGAGGTTGCCCTGTGCGACCACGGTGGCCTGAGCCGACCCGCGCGGCGCCTTGCCTGTGCCGACAGCCATCTTCTGCGGCCTGAGGACGCGCGTGGCGACCCTGTTGAGCGTCTTGAGATCGACCTGGTCGATCTTTTCGCACATCTCCTCCACCGAGACCTTTTTGCCGTGCGCCTGGATCTGCCTGCCCAGATCCTCGACCTCGACGAGCCGCGACTCGAGCGCCATGACGAGCGAGCTCTTGAGCTGGTTCTTGGCGCGGTTGAGCTCGGTCTGCGTGACGGAGCCCTGGTAGATGGAGCTGGTGCACAGCTCGAGCTCGCGTGCGATCACGTGCACGATGCTCGAGTTGAAGCTCGGATGCACCGACGCCGAGATACCGAAGAGCCCCGAGTCCGAGTAGCAGTGGTGGAAGGCCGCACAGTAGTCGACGCTGTGGTGCTGGTTGAGCACGTTGGTGTACAGACGCGAGTACATGCCTTTGCCAGGACCACCGGCACTGAAACTGCCACCGCCACCCAGCAGGATCTGCAGCGTGGCGAGTGCGTAGATGTCGTCGTCGTGGATGCTGAGGCCCTCAAATGCGACGTACACGTGCGTAAACTCGAGATCCGACTGGGGGATATACAGCTCGCCGCCCGTGTACTGCGAGGGCGTGGCGACGAGGTCGGCAAGCTCGGTAGCCGTGGGCGTGGCCGAGGACGACGAAGAGGTCGAGAAGCTAGAGGATGAGCGGGAGAAGAGCGACGAGAGCGACGAGGAGCGCGACGACGACGACGAAGCGGGCGAGCTGGAGAGCGATGACGCTGGGGAGCTGGCGCGCGAAGCATCCGAGATGGGCTTGAGGCCGCCAAAGAGCTTCTCTGCCAGCTCGACGAGCTGCTCGTGTGGCATGCCGGAGCCAGCGACGACGATGCGCTCGGGCCTGTACCAGGTGGACATGAAGTTGCGCAGATTGTCGGCGGTCATCTGCTCGAGGCTCTCGATGGGGCAGAGCAGCGGGTTGCCGAGCGTGTTGCCCCGGTAAGCGGTGGTGTGCAAGAGCTCGGGCAGGATCATCTCTGGCTTGGACCAGATCTCCTGGATCTCGTAGGCGGCAGCTTCGCGCTGCATGTCGAGCTCTTCGGGGCTGAGGAGTGGGTTGAGGATGGTGTCTGCGAGGATGGAGAGGACGGCGGGGACGTCCTCGTTGAAGACGCTCGACTGGTACATGATGGTCTCGCGGGAGGATGAGCACATGACGTTGCCGCCGAGCGCCTCGATTTCGGACGTCATCTGCTGCGACGAGCGATTTGTTGTGGACTTGAAGGCGAGGCGGTCCAAGAGGTGCGACGAGCCCGATTCGCCCGCCACCCACGGGCGTTCGTAGCGCGAGCCGGCATCGATGTAGACGCCGACGGCGCTAAAGTGGCCGGGCGTGGCTTCTGTGGCGACGCGGACGCGATTTGGGAGCGTGGTGACGTTGATGAGCGCGGACGAGGGCAGTGGCGATTGGTAGGCTGATGAAGAGGAGGATGCTGTGGGTGTGCTTGCAGACGGCGCCGAGACGGAGGCGGTAGACGAGATGGACCGCGCCAAAGTGGTGTTGCGAGAGATCTGCGATAGACGTGATGCAGAAAGTGCTGATGGCACACCGGCCGCCGAAGATGAAGAGGCGAGGGCAGGCGACGAGTCCGGCTTGGCCGCAGCTCGAACCGGTCTGGAAGCGTGCAAAGAAGGTACGGAGGCCGTCGCCACGGAACGTGCCTGGCTTGCGGTCGATCTTGCGAGTGCTCTGGCGACCATGCTGGACGACGACGGGGTCGGCAGCCTCATCTTGGCTCGTATGGAGTGGGAGTGGGTGATGGGAGCGGGATAGGTTGTTGGAAGTGAGTGCAGGCCCAAGGTTCACAGTGGAGATGAGACGGCGTTCAAAGCGAGCCTGGCTGGCAAAAAACCGGCGTCTGTGACTCTGACGTTGGTCGGGTGGAGCCGAACTGCGCCTCGAATTCGGTTGGACGACTGTATCCCGAGATCGGGCGACTGTCAGGGCCGATGTGATTGATGTGATCCGAATATCAGTGTGAGAGTGAAACAGAATACACATTCGTTTGAGCAAAATTTAGCTCAGATTTCAGGGAGTGGGCGGCGCTTGCGGCTCTGTCTCCGCAAGGCGTTGGACTCTCAAGCCTCGCTTCGGCTCGTTGGGTTTGGGACAGATTTGGAGCTCCGCGCGAGTGCTTGGCTTGCCCACCCACGGGCGGTTGCGTGCTTGCTGCGCTCCAACCCAAGGGCGTCGATACTGATCGATCCCGATTGCACTCACTGCCTTGGCTTTGCCTCGCTGGAGAGAAGAGCTACGCGTGTAGACATAGGAGCTAACAGCAGTGGAAGCGTGGAGAGATTGTGGCCCGCAGAAGCATGCAGTCCACTGCTTGAGGAAGGTCGATGCACGCTGTGCTGCGCTTCGTTTGCAGCAAGGATTGGGCTGAATCCTAGCAGATGCCTGTCTCAGATATTGACGTTGGGAGCGCTGCAGCCTGCCGCGGGGCTGACTAATTCGCACCGGACGCGAATCCTGGCCTTTCGATGCGAGCCAGCACACGCACGCCATCAAAAAAGATTTCGGCAAGAAGCAAGTTGCCGGTGAAATAGGTCCTGCTTGCTTGCTTGCCAACTTGGCTTTGAGGTTCGGCTTGGCTTCCGACGTGGCTGAAAGCCAGCCGTTGGGTTATTATTATAACGAGGGCGAGCGCGTCGGGAACAAGCATGCATGCCGTCGAAGCGAAAGACACGGCTCCGACGGATGATGGTGTGGTGCGACCGGTTGTGGGTTCAATGCGAGGCCGTCCACACGCTGCTCTTTGCCTAGCTTCGGCTTGAGGATACGCGAAGGCGCTTGTACCATGGTCGTCTCGGCTGGATGGCAAAGCAACACGACGGGACCTAGTCTAAGGTTGGTGTGCTAATCATCTGCTGGTGGCCCCCGGCGCATCGGCAGGAGCCGCGCAAGGGAGTCGTGTGCAACGTGCAAATGCGGTATCGTCCGCCTCCCGATCCGAGCCATTTGTTTGCAGCGACCATCGGACTCTCGAAAGTGTCTGGCGAGGGCCCGAAGAGAGCAGCGTCTGGCACGCGTTGCGCCTCGTGCGCTTTGCGTGCATGAATCAATCCCAACAGCGCCGCGATGGGCCTTGATGTCCCCCCCCCCCCCCCCCCCCCCCCCCCC